AGAAATAAGCAGTAAGTAAACAGACCAATCACAATCGATTATTTTTAAAACGTGGGAATGGAATTGGTCAATTTGCTTATTGCTTATTTCTTATGGTTTCTGCAGACAGGACGCGATAATGCTTGCCGCGCCCTGTGTGCAGGAGCCATTACTCCTACTCCTTAGGGCTATCGCACACAAATTGACATAACTGCATATGCATAGCATAAGACCGTATGTACCAATGAGCATCGAGTATTAAGTCGCCATATTGGTGTTCGATGCTTAATATTCGATGCTCATTGATCCATACGATCTTATGCTATGCATATGCAGTTATGTCAATTTGTGTATAGCCCTTACTCCACGTATTGTAGATCGAGCCTTACTACTCGAGCTCTTACTACTTAGGCCCGATCTACAATAGATGGAATAAGAAGTAGGAGTAGGAATAAAACGAAATGAAAATAATTTATTCGCTTATTCCCTTACTCCAGTTCTTTACTTCAGCTCTTATACTTAATTCAGGCTTACTCCATGTATTGTAGACGGGCAAACTTTATTGTAGATCGGGCCTAAGCGAAATAAATTATTTCCATTTCGTCTTACTCCTACTCCTTGATTGTGATTGGTCCATTTACTGCTTATTTCTTACTTCTACTTCTACTCCTTAGGATGCCGTCTCATTGAGCACGGATCGGAACGCCGGATCGGATTTCTTACTATAATGAGCGTTCAGTTCTCTAGTTCCGTTCCGTAAAAGTTTCCTCTACCAGTCCCATGTAGCAAAAACGGATTTCTAGTTATAAAATATATTTCACTCTTCAATTAAATATTTCAGAATATTCATGACAATGTTATCGGCAAGATAATTATGTATATAATTAATTCTGTAGCGTCAAAATAACGAAATATTGACGAATTAATCATATTTATTTGCGACCGACGCGCCATTCCGTTCCGTTTTTGCTACATGGGACTGGTAGAGGAAACTTTTACGGAACGGAACTAGAGAACGGAACGCTCATTATAGTAAGAAATTCGATCCGGCGTTCCGATCCGTGCTCAATGGGACGGCACTCTTACTCCATCTATTGTAGATCGGATCTACAAATAAAATGACGCTTACAATGCAGCATTCAAAAGAAACATCGCCGTGAACTTTACGTTTAGAATTTGTGAATCCCCTATTTGGTTTTCTAATTCTATCACAATGTGACATATGCTCAGTAAGAATGATGTCATCAATAGATTGTACCTTATCGGCATTTGTTTAAGTTTGGAAATGATATAAAGTTATATATAACGTTTATTACTACGTGTAATTAGAGTAAGTAACTATTAATTCACGTAAGTATCTATTAATTCACAATAAGAAATTATTTTACAAGACAATAATATAAGATATCAACATTGTTTGGATCAATTATTTAGACTAGATTTTGTTATTTGTTAAAAATTGATAAATATAGTATATAATTATTTTTATTGAATTTCCTAATTAAAATATATATATTTTTTCTCTACTTATATAAATTTGTTTTTAGGTCCATTTTAACACTTATATCAAGTGCATTTATTTCTAAATATATGTTCAACATGCTGGAACATAATAAGAAATTATCCTGCTGGATAATTAAAAAAGATTCGTAAGAAAAGCAATTACAATAAGAACAACTCTAAACTATATATCTATAAATTATATATATATATACACATACATACATAATGATAACATGATTATATGAATACATTTAATGATTATAAATACATATTATTTTTTTACTGATTAACAGATCTTTATTGTATTTTTTATAAAAATTATATGAAATTATAAATAATTGAGACAAGTAATTTTTCACTCAGTATTTTTTTTATATTTTAAGAAAGTATGTTTTTATATTTCAAAAAAGTTACTTATAATTTATTTTCATTGGATTAGTAATCTATATTTGTATCTATCTAATTAAATAAATTTTATCTTGATTTTTAGAGATTATACAACACATCCAACAGTACCAAAGATTATGATACCAAAAGTAAAAGTTCCATCTGCTTTACACTTTGCACTAAAACAAGAACCATATTCGATAAAGGAAGTTGAAAAGTGTAGAAACTATATAAAATGCATTAAAAGCTTGTCTAATGTAAAAAATATAAGGCAAGATGAATATTTCTTTGTATTCAAGATTTGTTTATACTTGGAACAGTATCAATCAGATCTAGATTTGAGGTCGCTCAGGAAAGATTATGATATTGTACAAGTTACTTCAGATCGTTTCATCATAAATGTACCATCTTTGGATAGTCAAAAACCTATAATTGTAGCAGAAGACACTATAACACTTCATGATGTAATTGCAAAAAAAAAATATCCAGGAACAGTTATAAGGGTAGAAGAAAATAATGTTACAATACGACTGGAGGTTCCTAAGTAAGTTTATTGTAATCTTTTGTGTTTTAATAGTTACAAAAGCTTGATATTCATTATTAAAAATATTGTATAGTTGACTTGTGTCATTCATTTTTTTAGTGCAATTGAAATGAAAAAGAATAAAAAGTACAATATAAAATTTTACGGTCATTATTGGCCATTAAGATGTTGTCACTATGCATTGTCATTAGCAAGCAAATTTAATTTCATTGAGATAATATATCCACAACAAGCAACAAACAATATAGATTTAAAATGGTAAGTTTTACCATAAAATATTTTATCATTTGGAGACACATTACTGATGTCTTATTGTTACAACTCTGTATATATGTGTACAGCAATATAGATTGGATAAATACTAACATAGTAAAAAACAAGCAACAGAAGCAAGCAGTAATAAGAATCTTACATATGACAGCAAGTCCTGCACCTTACATCATTTTTGGCCCACCAGGCACTGGGAAAACAGCGACATTAGTCGAGGCTATATGTCAAGTAATTTTGCATGTTGTATTAATGCTAATATTTGCTAAAATAAGCTATATTTTTTTTCTTTTCATCTATTTTTTTTTTATTTGGTTGTGAATTAGATCGTGAAGCAAAATTCTAGGAATAACATATTGGTATGCACGTCGTCCAATGCAGCAGCTGATGAAATCACTCAGAGATTAATAAAATATCTTCCAACAGAAATAATATATCGAATGTATGCGCCATCCAGACACTGGTAAAGCACTCGTTTTTTGTACTAATAAGTTCATTGTTTTCTATATAAATATATTTAATGTATAATTAATATTATTAATATTATTTTTATATAAAAGTTAGAGAGGCCTTTACACCTTTATACCTTGTCTGGTAATTAGTTTGTGATATTGAATATTGATTTAGTTAACAGATAGGATATAGAATATGCAACATATATGACAAGACCAACATCTGTAAATAATTTTTTTTTTTAATCAGGGAGGATGTAAAGACAGATATACAAAAATGCGCAAATTTTGTTACTGGTGTACATAACACTACCATCTTCTTGCCGAAAGAGGTACTAGTGATGAAGAAGATTATCATTTCAACATTAATAACATCTATCAGGTAAATATTTGAGATATTATTCTGTTATCTGAGATGCAATCAAGTCTGAAATGTACAGCTATCACATAGCAACAATAACGCATTGATAATAAACAATTTTTACACAATAAAGTAATTAAACCAATTGTTTCATACAAAAGTAAACATGCAGAGATATGTTTAAGTTGATTTTATTAACAACCTTGGGAAAATACACGATATAACATTTTAATAACAACCTTGGGAAAACGCACAATATAACATTTCTCTGCTTATTATAGATTAGCTGCTGTGAGATTGCGAGAAAATCATTTTTCTCACATAATTATTGACGAAGCGAGTCAAATAACTGAACCAGAGATGCTGATTCCAATTACATTAACAAAACATTATGATGTAAAAGACATAACCAATTTCCAATCACAAATCGTTATTGCAGGCGATCATTATCAATTGGGACCTGTCGTTCGTAGTAAATTTGCGATAAATATTCTTGGCAAGTTTCCCTAAAGTGGTATTTCAATTTCAATATGATACACACTCTGTAATGTTTTAACTATTTAATATTCCGACAGGTAAATCCATGCTCGAAAGATTAATGACCGATTGCGATTTGTATAAAAAGAAGAATGGAAAGTACAATCCTAATTATGTAACCAAATTAGTTAAAAATTATCGAAGTCACAAGGATATTTTGCACGTGCCGAACACACATTTTTATGACGGAGATTTGGAATGTTGCAAACAGCCTGATACACAGATAGCACTGAACTGGGAGAAGTTGCCTGCTAAAAACTTTCCCATAATTTTTCAAGAAGTTCAAAGTGTAGAAGAACGAACTGAGACAAAAAGGTAAGTAATTTAAATTAAATGTCACATAGTCTGCATGTTAAGTTACCCAAAACGAAAATTAATATTCCATGTTTTACTACAAACTTCTATTAAATGACTTCATCATTAAATTACGTGCAATTATAAAAATATAATATTCTTTAGTATATATATCTCTTTAGTGTTTATAATAAAGTTGAAGCACTTGTGGTAGTGCAATACGTGAAGATGCTGATGAACGCTAAATTCGGCAAACACAGAATAAGCGCAAAAGACATCGGAATCGTAACGCCTTTCAAGAAACAGCAGATGGATATTATACATAGATTAGCGGTAAGAGGCTGGGAAGATATATTTGTAGGAACAGTAGAGATGTTTCAGGGACAAGAGCGAACTGTGATAATAATATCAACCGTACGATCTAAGATTTTTACGCACAATGGTGTTGAGCACATCGGGTTCTTATCAAATGAGAAAGTATGTTGCTTTATTATTGTTTGTTATAAAATACGTTAATACGTTACTTTACAAGTATATATTTTTTAAGTACAACTAGTATTTGAAATTATGAAGATTAGTCAAATGAATTTTTTTAACGATATTTGTGTACGCTATCATATTTATGTAAAATTGATTTCTCCTAAGAGTATCAGTAAAAAATATATATGTATAAAGTTATTAATATTATTTTCTCTCTCAGAGGTTTAATGTCGCCGTGACACGTGCAAAGGCTCTTTTAATAATAGTGGGCAACTCGGAAATTATCTGTAAAAATAAACATTGGAAAGCACTATGCGAATACTGCAAAAAACACGGTGGTTATGTACCTTTCAATAAATGTCCGTTAAACTCGGATATTTTGAAGAAATATGAAATCAAGTCAAATGACACTAACAAAGTGAATACAGCTGTCAACCAGGTGTCCGTCACCGTTGAGACTGATGTGATGGGAAACGAGAAGAAGCTGGAAACCTTGACCAATGTATTAGTACGTAGCATCGAGAAAAAATTGACATTGACTAAATAATGGCGGATTTGTATGACATTGAGCGGTAAGCGACATTCCTAATTAGTTTTTAAGTTTTCACGGAATATTCTTATCAAAATGTTATTTTTAAATATAATAGTATTCCTTTTTAGACTTAAAGAACGACATACTTAAAACTTCTGGTTCCTCATTATGGTCATCTTAATTAATGGACAGAAATGAGAAAATATCCTAAAAATTCTTGCAAAACACTTTGAAATGAAAAGATATGTTCGTAAGATAATATTTGTGATTGACTGAACATGTGTGTGAAGTGTGCTGAAAACTTTCTCTTCGATAATCAACAAATAATTGTAAAACTAACATAACAAAAATCAAGTAATTAAAAGATAAGTTAATTTTAGGGATGTTTTCTCATTTCTAACATCATCAATCAAGATTGTCATGATGAAAAATAAGAACCTTAAGATTCTTGGATACACACATTGTCTATTTCTTAATGATGTCAAAAGCGAGAAAACGTATACTAAAAATTCTTGCAAAATATGTCGGGATAAAAAAATGGTGTCACGTTTTAATTTTATAGTTATTGATTGTTAGAGCAAGAGGAAAGTGTTTGAAATATCTTAGAAGAGTGTTCTTAATCAGTTGTAAATTTTATGGTTATATTTTTTTATCTTAACGTCTTGCTTTTCGCAAGAATTTTTAGCATGCGTTTTCTCGCTGCTGGCGTTATTAAAGAAGAATTGGACAATGCGCATACCCAGCAGCCTTAAGATACAGTTTTTTGTGCCTTTGACAGTATCAGAGAGAAACCTGAGAGCGGCCACGCCATATGTTTTGGCCGATATCGATTTTCACGCTGTTTGATGCGCTATCTACACCCATTTTTGAGGTGGAACTACGTTCTTTACGTCCATTTTCAAACGCTGCCGATAAAGTCGATTTGTTGCGTGTCCATTCTACGCCTATTTTCTGGTGATTCATGTCCGTGCTAAGCGCATAATTGCGTGATTAAAAACATGAACTGTCCATGTCCATTTTTTTAACCACGCAATTATGCATTTAGCACGGACACGAATCGCCAGAAAATGGGCGTAGAGAACGTAGTTCACCTCAAAAATGGGTGTAGATGGCGCATCGAACAGCGTGAAAATCTGTGTCGGTCAAAGCGTATAGCGTGGCCGCTCTCAGGTTTCTCTCCGACAGTATTAATCTTAGAGATAATGAGTTTAACGATCTTTAGTTGTAAAGTTTATTTTTTTTTAACTTAATACATAATTTCCGAATTGATGTGATATATATATAGTACATTTGCAATTTGTAATATTTTATATAATTAAGTGACGTACAACTGAGTAATTGTCACGTACGATTTATATATCATGTATTATATTATCATCTTGTAATATTTTAAATTATGTACCATTTTGTTTTGTGCAAACTTGTTTTCTTACAGATTCTATAAAGCGTTTATAATTTATATTGTTATTTCCATATTAAGTAGTAAATTCTAATTTTACTTTTAATTTTTATTGTAAAGCAGATCTTTTTATTATAAAGTAAATTGTTATTTGCAACTTATATGACTGATAAAAATAAAATATAATGCCTTAATACTATAAGACCTGGGAGATCAGTGTGAATTAGATCAATAAAGAAACCTATCTTTATAGAAAACTATTTATTTTTATACGAGGCAAATGATTCAGAGACACGTGTCATTGTTCAAAGTATTACACATTCTCTCACCTAGAAAAGCTTATTATTCGAGGAGCAGTTTAGCTTCGTTTCCATTGACTTTCTTATTGTTACCGTGCTGAACCGCGAATTCGTATTTCAAACTGGCGAACAAGATGTCTGTGAGGAGGAAGATCTGCGCTATGGCGAACGCTAGCGTTACACCGAAGTAGAAGTTGGCATTCGCCGATCTGGAGTAAATCCACTGGTGCCACACGGTCGGGGCGAAAACCGTGCAGAATAGCACGAAACAGCCTACGATAAATCCTTGTTGCATATCTACGAAGAAAATAGATTTCATATTAAAGCAGTTCGCATTGTCGAACTACAGGACGAATGTTTTCATTAAGATTCATTAAAGTTAATTACAGTTTTTGCGGTTTCTTCGCCGCAGTCATTTTGATTTATGATGTCAGAAGCGAGAAAATACATATAGCGAGAAAATAAATATTTAAAAATTTGTTGCAAAATACGTTTAAATAAATACTTCGCTAATTTAAATAAATATGTCGCAAATAAAATTGTATGTTTACAAAATGACACTGGCAATCAATCGAACAGATCTGTAAAATAGTCCGAATTTGCTTTAATAATCAATAAATAGCCATAAAATTAACATGACAAGATCATGAGAAAAGTATTAAAAATTAGGATTGCATGTCATATTAATTTTATTATTATCTATTGATTATTTGAATAAAATAAATGTCCGGATTATTTTATAAATTTGATCGATTGTAAATTTATCATTTTATGCAGACATATTTTTGTTTCAATGTATTTTGCAAGAATTTTCAGCGTGTATTTTCTCACTTCTGACATCATCAATCAAGATTTCGACGACGAGAAGTTGAGGCAGTTTTAAGATTGAGATCGACTCTACTTACGCTGAAATAGATGCTTCCACAGCGGCAACAAGGATATATAAAAGCCGACGTCTCCGATACACGGGTAGGATTTGAATATGGCAGCTATCGCTAGATATGAGAACGCTAATAGCATCGGGTCGCGTCTTAGTCGCAGCGCTAGAGGGACTATATACAGTAAACTGACGTTTATCTGGAAAGACGCGATGAAGAGCCATCTAAAGTGCTCAAACATTTCCGTGAAAAAGTACCAATACAGCCCGATGTTCGGACGCAGGTCGGGGACAGTCAAGATGAATCCAATTGTGCTCCCCAGGAACGACCAGCTTCTCATTATGTAGTAGGAAACAGCAAACAAGGCTCCCAAGATGCTCACAAATACAACCAACATCGTAATAACTCTGATCTTCTTGATCTTATCCCCCGCTACACTAGCGACGTAGATAGCTGCCGGCACCATGAGCGATATGGGGTAGAGTTCTTGCAGTGTTAGCAATGCTATTGAGATGCAACTCCATAGTATGGAACGTCTTGTCATGGATACCAGTGCGATCGAGTAGAGCAAATTGGTAAAGACTGTAGTCGTGAGGCCAATACAGTTCAATATGATGTAAGGATTAAATAGATACCCTGCGGAAACATACAAAGCTGATACACTTGAGACACCTTCATTGAGCTTCTTATCCTCATCCTGTGCTTTTTCTTCTTTTCTCTTTGTTGCCTGCAACACGAAAAGATATTAGGTTTGATCCTTATAGCTGTGCTGCATTCAAAATAAAATAAATATATATTTGCTTCTTGGTGAGACAGAAGAAAATAAGATAAAAATAGAAAGTTTAGTTATAAAGAACAGACTAATTATATTTTTACTAAAACATGTTGATTGCAAGGCACTCAAGCTAAATCTAAATGCCTTGTGTTCAATTATATATAGTCAATTTCAAACTAACCAGCTCAATTGCGTAGTGCTTTGCAGCAATTGCAAGACATACAGCTGTTGTTAAGTCAGTAACAATGAACAACAGAAACAGAGCCCACTGAGACAGATACTTCTGCATGAAATTAAAGACATATAAGCCAATGGGAGTCTCATGAAACAGATCACCTTCATAGGGATCAATGCCAAAGTTATACAGGTAAACTCCTTCGGTCACTGAAAAAGCAAATGCATGGAATTAGAATTATTACTGCAACGAATCTGACTTATTGAGACAATTAAATTTTCATTTTTATATAATCGAAACAAAATTCTAGTTCTTCTTATGATTGAAACAGAGCTGAAGCGAACTAAAACTTACTAACCTCTTTTCCAGGAGTTCAAAGCGGTCGACACTTCGACGCGGTTGCTAATGATCTTTTGGTACTCGGAATTCATCAGCAACCATCTGATAGTGGCGGCCAGCGCGAAATTCGACAACCACTTCTTCAACATTTTATCTATCGCAACCTCGCACTATAACCGATTCATTCGCTCATTCAGCACATAACCTATCAATGGAGCGGCACCGGTGTTTCGACAAGCATAGTTGAGATGTAATCTGCCTGTTATCAATAAACTGTTATTTTTACGAAACTCACTCCCATCTAATTCTCACTTGCATTGACGTGACAGCGACATCGATTTGAAATCGCGATGTCCTGCAGAGCGATCAAGTCGCGATCGAAGATACCATCACATCTTTAACCATCAGTCGTCTCGACGACGCTGGTGACACTTGCTCCTTGATACAACACACCAAAGTGATCAAAACATCGAGACTGCATTCGTTATTCCCATGCTTTCACTTTCGTATGCTCGTATGTACGAACAGTGCCGACTCTCACACTTAAAACTGCATCAGTTTCATTTTCTATGAAGCGTAAAAGCAACAAGATTTCGTGATTGACTGAAATTCCTCGAGAACATAGCTCACGTGCAATAAAACAATACCATTGCGATAAAAAATTTAATTGACAAAGATGTCAAAATCGACAAAAAATGTGGAACGCTTCACGATTTTGCGTGTCATCCTTGCGCAGGGGCCATGCTAATCTTCTCTGTATCGTTCCAATTTTAGTATATGTACTGCCGAAGCAAGTACGGTAGACTAGCTGAAAGAAATTTCTTATATACACGGTCATACCTTTAAGAGTACTATCGAGAATCCTGGTTTCTGTGGAGAAGCCATCTAGTGTTAAAACGATGTATGACGTTTACATCATAACCTCACATTGTAACCTCAAAAGCAGATATGATGTATCAGTCACTGTGATATTAACTAATAAAAGTGAATAAATTAATAGTTGATTGATTTTGCGGTGAGAAATAATATCGTATCTTAATGTACTCGATTTTGTGAATTTTTATCTTGTATTTTAGTATTGTAGCTGTATTTGAGAAATCTCATAACACATATTTTTCTTTCATTATATTAAAGTTATTATCTCTGTTTGTTGAATAATATTTAAGACTTTGTACTCTCTCTTCTGTATATAGATTGAAAGCTATGCGATTGACAGGCTGGAGATACGGCGTGTTTGTCGGAGGTTTCTTAAGTCTCATAGGTTTACATTGTTACATTTCGATGATAAGACCTATACTTGATCCTGAACCATACAGTAGTTTTCTTTCAAAAAATTACCAGACACTTAGTTCACATTGTTATACCTTCACTAATCTATAATTTTTTGCAGAAAAAATTAGAGAACATGCTCTCTCAAGTAAATCTACATAAATTATTTCAAATTGGAGAACTGATTGTGAAATGGTGTATCAGTCGCAAGTTACATGTCTTCATCATTAAAAATGTTCTGCAGTGAAGAATAGGTATGATAAGAAAAAAATTACACTGACTGTTGTATAAAATAAATGTCTATTAATGTTCCTTGCAATTAAATTGTCAATTTTGAAAAGTACATTAGTCATAAAAAAATGTATAATTAGCATAGATAACGGTTTATGGAATATAACTGTAGGCTTATTTTACAGCATAAAATGTATGCATTCAGTACTATATTGTCTACTGAATTCTTGTATTCAATTGGCATATTTTTCTCGATTTAAAAATATACACTAGTCAGATACAGAAGTTCAACGCACAGTTGTAGTACTAAATGCACCCAATATCATCTTTTTCTATCACAAAATAACTTACTTATATAGGGTAAAATTACTAATGCCTAGACTTGTCTAACTTTGGATATTCTTATTTATACTCTTTAAATATAAATACTCAAACCTTTATCATAAAAAAAGTATATATATATATATATATATATATATATTTATTTATTTATTTATTCTATGTTGAAAGTTTAAATATTCGTGATTCCTTGCTTCTGATGTCATCAGTCGAGAGTTCCACGGCGAGGATCCTTAAAGACCAAAACAATAAGAATGTCCAGAGTTAACTACGTGTCTTTAGACGTTGGTATTTTTACTTTACTTTCTACTACAATAGCGAGTGATTCAACTGCCCGAATAATTATCACGCACAAGAAATTTCGTTCGCAAAATCGACTAGAAATTTCATCGGTAGTACATGATCTTATAACTATGCGTACGCATTGTACACACGCGCGCATACGAAATATAGGCCTTATGTTAAAAATCGTTATCATCGCAAACGTCCAGGAAGACATCAAATGCTTGCCGATTACAATTGCCTTCTGCAGTGAACACATACTTGTGGAACGTTCCGTCCATGCATATAGCTGAAATTACAAAATAGCACAAAGTGCGATGTCTGAGTCGTAGAAATATAAATATTTTTCAAATGACAAATACCTATCACAGAATTATGTGCGCCAAACGCACAAACGCACGCGCATTCAGGGGGTACTGTGAAAGTAGCCAATGCCCACTGACTCTCAATGTAGTTACCCAGAAAACCCATCTTTGAAAAACTGAAAATAAAAAGCGATTTTTACAGTATAAATACTACTACAGCGCGAAAATACATGTCTATTTGAAGATATTTACATACGTGGATCGTCGATTTAAGCGAGTATCTTTCAGGGCGAATATGTGTACTGTTCCCTTGTCACTAGAGACACACAAAAATTCTGAATCTCTGCTGAACGTTATACTGAAAGAAACGTAGAAAGATTAGTGCTAATAAAAGAAAGAATACTATTTATACTTACAGTAATAAGAAAGAATTATAATTGGTAATAACAAACTATTATAACAATGCAAATTACATTATTAGTTAGAGAAGGTTTATAACTTTTACCTTGAAAAAGCGCAGAATTTTGATTTGCAAAAGTTCGTCTTTTGAGAATTTTAAAAATTTTTGGAAATTTTTTTCGGAATGATTAAAAAACAACTTTTGGATACTGGATGCGTTCTGTTATTTATCTGTTATTTATTAAAAATGTTGCAACTTGCACATATTATGAGGATACTCTATATATTTTACATATATTATTTTTTTACCATCTAAAAGTACTCATATTTTTGTGGATATTTGTGCATATGAATGGTTAAAAAAATAATATATTTAGAATATATATAATATCCCCACACACACATTATATACAAATATAATACACTATACTACTACTAAATAGTAATAACAGAAAGCACTAATTACATTGTTTATGATCTCATATTACCAATAAAATGTAGCAGGATCGGCACCACGTCTCAATTCGACTAACAGATGCCTTCGTATGGAGTCCCATACTCTGACTAGGGTTCCTTGAGCGGATGCGGTAGCAACCATAGTTCCATTTCCGTTAACCGCCAGACAGGCTAGTGCACCCTGTTAGCGCGACGTATATATACACAATTGCAAAGGGAAAAATACAGAATAACTTTTTTGTTCACTATGAAATAAATACTTGATGCGCCGCAAGAGTCACGGGAGCACTGGAACTTCCAGCCTCGGTCGCGCCGAGATCCAGCAACTGCACGCTACCGAGTTTATGGCCGGGAAAAGCCAGCAGTTGCTTCTGCGCTGACGCGAGAGTCGCTATCTCTACCAAACCCTTCGGATTGTCCCGCGTTTCCAACGTCAGTAACCGCCGAGTAGGAGTGGGAAACGAAAAGACGTGGACCTCTCTCTGGAGCGCCACTATCATTCTAAAAAATTATGCCAAAAAAATACTCTTTTTTTTATATTACTTCTAAATTTCTATATTACTATTAAACTTATAAAAGACATTTTAAAGACATGTAAAAGATGTCCAAGTAAAATAAGACTTCTTTAAGATATATTTTAAAAGTTTGTATTGTTTGGGTATGCACTCCGTTTCAATATGGTTTCAATAATATTTCAATACATTTCAAAACATGATAATTTATTGAAAGGATTTGTTTTTGGTTAATTCCCAGAAGTTCTCTTATTAGCTATGTACTAAAATGCATAGAAAAAAAGCTGTTCAAACTATATTGAAACCAAGCTCCAAAAAATATATATATATGGGGAATTAAGATTTCAAGAAAAAAAAAGAAAAATTTGCAAAGATGAAATAGTAAACATTTATCAGCAACTTACTTATCTCTTCGCAATCTGACAGCTTTAATGGGACTGGTAAATGTAACCTCCATGACAAATTTCTTAGACAAATCATCATAAATCAAAACAGTATTATCTGCAAATTTGGCACGTGTCCCACCACCTACTACAGCGATCACGTTTGTCCTCCAGAGCATCTCTGCTATAGCGATACTTCCCATCAATTCATTCTCAAAATGTGCTTTCTCAACTAGTGGCTCGACATTGTAAATTCTCAATCCAGACTCCATGCAACACATGAAGCATCCTGTGGAAATTGATTGATGAAATAATGTTAATAAGAAAACTATATATGTATAAATTACAGTTCAGATTTTCTTCTGCTAAGTTGAGCTTCACCTTGATCCTGATTAAACCTCAAACTGTGAATGCCTCTCATAGCAGCCATTGTGACTTGTTGTGCTTTAATTCGTGATATTATCAATGTATGCTTTTGTTTAGATTCTTGTCACAGGCATGATGCATTGTCTGCAACAATGGTAAATTATCAAAATATGATGAATTTCCCATGAAAACTCGAGTATTTCCTAATGATAGACTAAACAAAATCACTAAAGCAGAATCTTAAAAAAAAAAATGGTTAACAATTAAAGAATAATGCGTATATCATAATAAAGGTCAACCTGACAACATTGTCAACAAAATGAGAAGTAGTAAAGTAGAAATTATTCAATGTAAGTTATTGACAATCGGTTCAAAATTTGTGAGATCATTTTTCTATTAGTTTGAACCTCCATATGTCTATTATTTACAGTCAACAAGTGCTAACAGCGCACACGACAGCATACCTCCACAGTATGTGTTGTGTTATAAATGGCTCACGATCATGGACGTAAGAACATCTGGATTGAGCATAAGGTACCACCATAAACGCGGGATGTGAAGCTTTAGGAGTAAGGGGAAATATACACCGCGGCCATCTTGGTTGACCAAAATTAGCATATATTTAATACACGATACATGTAGATTTCAACTTCAATGTGTCTCTAGGAATTCATCGCCCAACGCCATTATACTGATGAAATTTCCACACTAGAGTTTATAAGCTTTGATTAGTATTGTGCAAAACTTGAAGAATTTCGTGGAAGTCAATAATATTCTTGTCCTTCAGGTGAATACCATAGCCACCAGAGCCACTCGAACACACTATTAGGTGCCTTTCATTTAATAACATAAGTCAACACAAGCATCATTCTATCTTAGTTACTTATTGAATATGGAACAAAAACAGAATGATACTTATGTCGATTTGTGTATTAAGGCCAAGTTCCACAACATCCGTTTAATTTTAACTACTAGTTAAGTCCTAATAGTGATTGGTTAATTCTGATTAACTCTTCTTAACGCTAAATGCGATTGGTCAAGTCCAATGGAATAGCCGGTCAGTTAATTAAAGGTTGTGAAACTGTGGGCCTTAATGGAAAGCACCCATTACTACAGTGTTCAGCAGTGTAACTAAAAAGAACAGATCATATATGTTATAACTGGAACCTTTAAGGTATTTTCATATACATTCATATACATTGCCAATCACAATCGAGGATTGTGAATTAGACAAAGATTAGATTAGATTGTGAAGTGGACAAATCAACAATTTCTCAAATCTTGTCTTGTTTTGTCCCGATTGGCCACGTTCTTCAATCTTCAATTTGCAATCCTCAATCTCGTGTGAACAAGCTTTAAGGCCAAATCACACTAATAGCTCCTGCACACGGTGTTTTTCCGTAAGAGCTAGAAGGTTATTACGGAAAGCAGCATATTGATTGGCTGTCGCGTGAACTTCCGCCGCGCGGCAAACATTACCGCGTTCTGTGTGCAGGAGCCATTACACTACAGATTGGAAATAGAGGATTGCGGATTGAAGATTGGAACTTGACCAATTGGAACCAAGCAGGCCAAGACCAAAGTGCATTGATTCGTCGAAATCTAATCTTCAATCCGCAATCCTCAATTTCCAATCCGTAGTGTGACACGGACTAAAGGCCAAATCACACTAGCGATTGATGATTGACGATTGAAGATTGCAACTTGACCAATTGGGACAAAGCAAGCCAAGGTTGAAGCGCGTTGATTCGTCAAAATCTAATCTTCAATCGTTAATCGTCAATCGTCAATTGCTAGTGTGATTTGGCCTTAAAGCCCGTATCAGGCTACGGATTAAGATTGGGATTAAATTGAAAATTGGCCAATCACAGCAAAGTTCACCAAACTTGAGTTTAGTGAATTTTGCTTTGATTGGTTAAATTTCAATTCAATCTCAATCCTAATCTATAGTCTGATATGGGTTTAACGTTTAACCTGTGGTCTATTCTTTTCAGTTGCACTGCTGAATTGATGCAATAAGTTAAAGTGAGACAAGTATATGTTTTCTCACTCTAAGGCTAAGGGCCCTTGCAGAATGCCAGGCAACAGGCAATATAGAACAGGCAATAGACAATAGGAACAAGGAATAGAAATAATTGACCAATCAGAATTTCTATTCTCTGTTCCTATTGTCTGTTGCCTGGCATTCTGCAAGGGCCTTAATATTTTACGTGTTGTACGACAAGCTTTTTGGATACGTTCATTGGTTGGCGAACATAGAACCTAGAAATACTTTATTCGCCAACCAATAAACGTATCCGAAAAGCTTGTCGTACGACACGTGAAATAGCACCCTTATTTATTGCACCAGTTCAGTAATGCAGCTGAAAAGAACAGATCACTGGCGTCATCTGTCAA